CGCCACCCGCCTCAATCTGCCCCCAACGCAGTGTTCGTCCTATTCGAAAGGATGGCTGTAGAAGTTTCAGTGCAGCATAGCCTCACAAGCAAAACACAGCATGGAGAAGCTGCATCTACCCCACGAAGTGCCGTGCAACAAGGCCACGAAGAAGTTCGACGCACTACGAGTGGCTACAGCCCTACAAACGTGTACAACATGGATGAGACTGCGTACATCTACTGTCTGTCGCCACACCGCTCCATTACGCGCAACCATGCGCCTGGAACGAAAAAGTAAAAAGAGGGTAACCGTTGCTCTTACCACGAATGCCAACGGTTCCGATGTTGTTGACCCCTTGTTCATCGGGACAGACATGCAGCCAAGGTGCTTCAATGGTCGAACTGCCCAAGACCTCAGTTTGACTACCAGTCGAGTAAAATAGCCTGGATGACGTCGGAGGTCTTTAGCACGTACCTGAAATCCATGAACGATCGAATGGTTTCGTAAGGACGCAAGATCCTGCTGCTTGTGGACAACCTCCCTGCCATGATCGTGAAGCTAGTGAAGGTTTGTCAAATACTACCTCTGGTTGGGAACAATTGCAGACGAATATTTAAAGGCATACAAAATTCAGGTACAAAGAATCTGTATTTAAAATAAACTAAACGGCAATGGTGTTAACAAGATCACACAACTCATCCAACCTACTTTCCTCATCTAAACGAAGGTTCATCAATTGCCGCTCGCCACGACGTCATCGTCGATTGTATCTTCGCCCCTTTCCTTACTCCGCGGGATCTTGTACGTATTACCGCTCTTTGCCTCGACAATTGCACGCATAACTCGATCCAACGTGCCAAAGGTCTTCTCCAACTTCGCAGTCGACGATGCACTAAAGGAAGTATGCACAGCCATTCTTGAAACAAACGGCCAACATCCAACTTTGCCGTCCCAGGCCGCTACGTGGTTGAGCAACAGCAACCCAAAACATCACCTTGGTGATGTGGCTCTTGGATGGATGGTCGTGTCTCGGCGGGTTGTCTTCATCGGCCCAGAGGTAAAAGCGGCGGCGCATTTTCGTGATGTAAAATTATTTCTCATCAATATGGACTACATTAAACAACTCATTGTCATTGCTCTTACTGTAGTCCTGAAGAAGATTTGAGCAAAAGTCGAAGCGCTGAAGCAAGTGCTCAGGTTTGAGTTTCGGTTTTGTCCAGTTTGATCGACGTGTTACCTACTTGTGCTTGATGTACAGTTCCAAATGGTCCAAGACGAGACTCCAATAGCTGTTGACAATGCACGATACTTCTGACGCTGAGTCAAAGTTGTTGCCTTAATTCGCTGCTCGATCTCACTGATTGTGTAGGTTTTACGTCGCCCTGTGTTGTTCATTCGGGAGGATACGTCGGCTCGGCAGCCTGGACTTGCCATCGCTCGGCCGCGTTGCAATATCCTGGATACGGTCGAGGGGTGGACACCAAACGCTTGCGCAATGGTCGCAATGGATGCACGTGAGACCTTGCCGTCCACACTGCGTAGAAGAAGCTCTTCGTATACAGCTCCTCGTTGCTCGTTGGTAAGGTTTGGCTTGGATTTGTATGCAGACTTTGCATGCAGCTTGTGTTGGCAGTTGTGCAAATAAAATAGAAATAAACATACTGTGCGATAGAACTCGACGAGAGCTATTTAGCCACTCAATTTTGGTCTACTTCCTCTTTCCCATATTACTCGTCGATTTGACTTCTCAACGACCCCACAAATTCATTTCTTTACCAAACTTGATGAAAGGTATCATTCAATGAAGAGCATAAAAATCCAAGGAACCATTCATTGGCTGTCAAGAGCATATCTTGAATTTTGGCGCCCAAAATCAACTTCTCATTTTCACCAGCCGAGTAAAAACACACCACATATAAAGATCAACACACATTTGAATTTGCCGCCATGCCCCAATCCTTACGCGAGGTTTCCTGCGCCAAGTGGTCCGACACGTACACCGTTCCTTAAAGCTTGATGGCTGATCCACTCTCTTTCGCCAAAACTGCTAACGAACTTGACGTCAGTGCGCGCGTGGTTTCCGCCATCTGGCGAAAGTTTCGCAAGATCTGAACTGTCAACTCCAACAAGACAGGCAGAGTTGGTCCTAGAAAGCGCTGCACGGTTAAAGACAAAGCCCTGTCTCGCTTCTCTTGTTGGCGAGGGCATTAATAACCAATGAAAGTGCTGAGAATTTTTGTAAGCCAGTCATATGCGTTTGTGTTTCAGTAATATGGAACAAGTGTGATTTTCAAATCGACGAGTAATATGGGACAGAGGAAGTATTAGCGTAGTGCGCATATAATTGGGCATGTTCAGATCAAAATAATTGTCATTGCTTTAATGATAGGTTTAGATATGTTTGAACTTACGTTAAACCACACTGCAAACTCTCTCTTACGACGTTGGGCATGGTCAGAGCCAAACAATTGTCAGCACTTCTCCGTACCGTACTTGACATGTCTGTTGCGAAGGGAAAAAACCTGTAAATACTTATTCAATCAATATATTATTTTCTGCAATACTCGTTTGTAACCTATACCCATGAAAATTTATAGCATAGGTTGTGGGATTGAACAGGTTAAGTCTAGCTACGATTTCTTTATACAATCATAACTTGCAGAATCTTATATTCTATTGCAGAATCTGAATATAAATATTTGGAGGACACTGTCATTTTGAATACTGTGCCATGTGATATGGCTTCGCAACTGACATGTCAACTAAAGTATTTCTAACATTTTCATGTGCACATATAATTATTTCGCGCACTGTACTAAGTGGAAATGGTCCCCAGATCGATGGAGATGATTCAAGTCAACCGATGCAACATTGAGAGGAATCGAGTTGGGACCGATGCAAGGATGAAGAGGAAGAAGAATCGAGTTGGGACCTATGCAAACATGGAGAGGAAGAGGAATCGAGTTGGGGTTCAACCCCTCGCCGATGTATGAGACAGAATTCGGAGATGCTTGCCGTGCCCTATCCGTATTTTTTACCCATATATTTTTACAATTTGGCGGCAACTCGGGAAATTTATGCGTGCAAGCCGCAAAAATGGCAGAATTGGCGGCAAGCCTTGGACCTGCCGAGTCCGGATACAGTGCTATTTTCCAGTCAAGCGAAATGACGGACACGACGGACGACGCACGGGAGGTGCAAGAGAAGAAGTGGTGGGCCGAATACGACGACGTGATGCTGTTGACTCAGGTCAACAACGAGTGCTCATTCACGAAGAGACAACCGACAAAGGCCTGGGTGTCTTTGACGGCGACGTTACGGAGTGTTGACGATTTTTCAAGGCGTAGCATAGATTGAAAGAAGGCCCAGAACCGTTTCCTGCTTCTTCTTTTTCAGCACAGGACGCACAATGCGACTGCGGCCTGCTTGTCTGGTGTTGTGTAGGAGGAGACGAGCAAGGACCGCCTTCTGGACGACTTGGTTGCACTGTTCGATGATGCCATGGCCAAGAAGACAAATCGCGAGATTAATGATGCAACTGACAAGGCCGAGTGCGTCAAGTGTATTCGAGAACAAGCAATGCAGCGTGGCAGGCGTCAATCAACTTCGGACTCGTCCGACACCGTTGAAAATGCTATCAGTAGCAAGCGCAAACTGATTGTGGAAGCCCAGGAAAATGAAATTGTGTTGGAGCGCAAGAAATTGGAGTTAAAAAAATGAAGCTTCAACATGAGCTAGAGGAAAAGGCGAAGGAAAGAGAGGAGAGAGAAAGTGACCGTTTGGAAAGGCAACAAATTAGAGAGGTGGAAAACCAGCGATTTGAGGACATGATGCGTATTCTTGGACTCTGCATTGAGAAAATGCACAAGTAGTTCATAAGTCTAACCAAATGTCGAGTATTCTTTTGGTGATGGTATGTTAAGTAGTCTATCCTAATGTCAAGTACTCTTTCAAGTGATGGTGGGTTCAATTGGAACTACTGACTTGTTTGATGTCCCCCGTTGTAGCACGATTGACAATTTGTCAACAGCATCGCCAAATTGATCGCCTTGCCGACACTTTGTAGCATGATTTTTTGCTGCATTTTATACGTCACAAACGCCCATTGCGTCTTCATTCGACAGAACCCCCATTCTACTGATTGACGCACACGACTCATCGACGAATTGAAGTCTTTCTCACAGCTTGAAATGTCCCCTTTGAATCCACTGCATATCCACCGTAGCACACCATAGGCGGGATCACCGTAAATCAAGTACGGTTCAAACGATTCGGCATGGCAATCCAAATAATCCATCAACTTGCTTTCCCACAATATAGTAGTGTCATGGCGTGAACCCTCGGTAGGGCCCCAGACTTTTATACACAGTCCGTCCATCCGGCGTGGTGACGGCTTGAAAGTTCAAACAATGTCGTCGCTTGTGGCCGCTGTAAATCAGTCTTTGCAGGTCACCAGGCGCATCATTTGCATGACTTGGACTGTCGCGTTTTTGTGTAATTCGACAAGTTTCAATTTTTGACCCGTCAATGAATCCAAAGATGTTTGGCATGGCTGACCCCTTCTTTTCAATTGCGTACAGTTCCAAACGATCCAAAACCAAGTGATGGGCAAAGTAGACGACTCCATTCCATTTGTCAAACAACAAGTCTACCACACAGTTGAAAATACGGCAGAGCGATTCCCGAGATCGTCCAAACGATTGCATCATGTCGTAATAACGACGCGGATACGACAGCCGGTTGAGTACCACACACAAAGCGTCCACCCCAAGACATCGGCCGCCCGTTTCTGTCACAATGACGTTTGGTAAAAGCAAAAGGGAGGAAAGCTCCATCAAGCCATTTAGGTCACCGGAATTTGAGCACACAGTCAGCGTCGGACATTTCGGTGATAACCAAGCTCCCTTTCGGGACAACAGGTCGCTCGACGGCATAGTCCAGAAGGCGCAGGAGCCGTAAGCGGCGCTTGTATAGCAGGTGGCGATATATTCGTAGGAATGCTTTGATCTCGTCGGCTCAAAGCATGTTTGCGAGTGAGTTGCGTTGTGCGATTGCGATGTTCCGGATACGGGAAAGGCATGGCAGATTTTTCTCAAAATCACATTGTATGGTTCCCGCAAATTTACAGTCCATGACAATAGACAAATTCTGCTAAGTTGAATTCCTTGTGAGAGCATTCTGGAAAATTCTATTTCCCTGTGAAAAATGTTCTGCTACAAAGAATTTTACTTTTCATGTTACAATTTGCAGAATGGACACCACGATGACCATCATGGTCATGCTTGGGCTGATGGCTCACCTATCCACCGAAACATCCAATGCGATTGCCATCCCAAAATACCGTTTTGACCTCAACGCTCAAAGCGACAACACTTGCGAGTACCATTTTCGCTTTAAACATCGTGAAATCATAGACGTCGCTCACCAACTTGGCATTCCTAACCCATTCCCGAACACGTTTCGCTACTACGTCACTGCCGTGGAGGCCCTTTGCATTCTGCTGAACCGTTTGGCTTGGCCACATCGACTGGGGTCAATGGTGCTGCTGTTTGGTCGATCACGTCAGGCATCTGTGCGATTGCGAACGAAACCATGGCCTTTGTGTACAACCGCTTCCATTATTTGCTCTTCTGGGACGACGGCCGTCTGGATGGACAGTGGATGCAAAGGTGCTCAGATGCCATTTTTGCTAAAGGTGCTCCATTGGACACATGTATTGGGTTTATTGATGGGACTGTTCGTGGGATTTGCCGTCCTGATGATGGCCTTCAGTCTGTTGCGTACAACGGTCACAAGGTAGAAATTAACAAACGTGGTTTTGGTCTCAATTAAATTTTGTTCTAGAGAGCATGCTTTAAAATTTCAATCGATCACGGCTGCAGATGGAATAATTGTTCACTTGTATGGCCCTGAACCTGGTTCACGACATGACTTGTATCTTCTCGAAAGGAGCAATACTTTTCCGTATTTGTACGATCGGCTCTTGGCGAACGGAAAGCGATACCTCGTTTATGGTGATCCTGTGTATGGGATTAACAGTGTCATTGTGAGTGGCTATAAAGGATCACGTTTGGAGCCGTCACAAAAGAAGTTCAATAGCGCCATGATCTCCGTTCGGGTCAGTGTCGAGTGGGGATTTGGTCTTGTTACCAAGCTGTGGACCTTAATTGACTATTCCGGGGGTCAAAAGTTAGGGTCCCAGCCAGTGGGAATGCGCTACGCTGTTGCCGTACTCCTGACAAATATTCACACTTTGTGTGAAGTCTGGCAACCAAATTTCGAATGCGCTACGCTGTTGCCGTACTCCTGACAAATATTCACACTTGTGTGAAGTCTGGCAACCAAATTTCTAATTTTACTAGATGTTCCATTCCAAGTTCAATCAGACAAATTCTGCAATTCAACAGCAACTTTCATATTTATTTGTTAATGCTTTGGTAAGAAGGACCACAGCACGTCAAATGTACCCTGCACAAACTTCCACTGATTTTCGCTGTCACGTTTTTCGAGATCCAATCACGCCTCTCTTTTGGATTTGCCCAAAGTAAACCTTGCCTCATCGAGTTTGAGGCGTCGTTGAGCCAATGCATTCGCTTGGGCAGCGCTCTCAATTTCACGTGACTTGAATTCATTTGCGCGCTCTAAATGCACTGCTAAGCTCTCGAGGGCGCTCGCTGTGTCCGGAACTTTTTGCACGCGACAAAACTTTTTCTTCTTGCCCTCGCCTGGCGGAACGTCGACGTTACTTTCAGCATCGATAGACTTCCGCTTGGCAGCATAAGCTCGCGTTGCAGCGTCACGCAATCTCTCACCATCGCTCTCCCGCTTTTCGAACTTGGCCGTCTTCTCTTCCTTGACAAAACGCTTGCGGTCTTGCGAGGTATTCATCTAGAACGTGAGATAAATTTGTTCTCAGCAAAACATGGCATACATTACATGTCCAATATGCATGTCTTACCAGGTCCACGATGTCCTGCATCAATTGTTCTCGCTCATTGTACTCTTCCTCTGTGCCTGATGCACGGAGGGAGTTCAGTTTGTC